CTGATGGGGAAACAGCCTAGCCTCAGACTGGCTAAGTCAGATCACCTAGGAGTTTGTGAAAAGTGCAGAATCTTAGGCTGACTTCATCCTTGAGCTTCTTAATTAGAACCTACATTTTAGCAAGATACCCCAACTGATTCACATGCACATTACAGTTTGAGCAGAATTGGCCTAGGTGGTTCAAAAAAGGCTCTGTAGCACCTACACCATATAGAACTGAGTAGCACTACAAAGGCTTTGAAACCAGAACTTGGATCTTGAACCCAGCTGAGTTGATTGCCAGTTAAAACAAAAATAACAGGATTCTCCTAAACCCTCATAACAAATGTTCAACATTTCTAGGACACAATCTTAAATTACTGGGCATACAAAGAACCAAGAAAATTTCAACTTACAAAAAATACAGTCAACAGATGCCAATACCAAGAAGACACAGATAACTGAAATTACCTAGCAAAGACATAAACTAACTATTATAAAAATGCTCCAAGAAGTGAAGGCAAACAGTCTTGAAACAAGTGGAACAACAGAAAATTTCAGCAAAGAAATAGAAGATGTAAAGGAGAACCAATTAGATATTGAAAAATAATCAGAATAGCTTCACTGGATGATTGACCACCGGAATGGAGATAATAAAGGAAAGAGTTGGTGAAGTTGAAGATAGATCAATAGAAATTACCTATCTTAATAACAAGAGAGAAAAAAGATTAAAAATAAAGAATTCAGGGACCTGTGGGACAATTAAAAAAGGTCTGGCATTGGGGCCATCAGAGTCTCGGAAAAGAAAGAGTATTGTGCAGAAAAATTACTTGAAGAAAATAATGGTTGAAAACTTCTTGGGTTTGGCAAAAAATAAACCTACAAGATTAAAAAAGCTCATCAAACCCTAAATAGAATAAACCTAAAAAAGTCCATGCCTAGACATATATAATCAAACTGTTGAAAACTAAAAATGAAGAAAAAACATGAAAGCAGCTAGAAAAAACATACTGCTTATAGAAGAATAAAAATTTGAATTTGGGTTTCTCATGGAGACCAGGAAAAAATAGACCAACATTCTTAAAGTGTGGGGAAGAAAAGAACCCAGAATTCTATATCCAGCAAATATTTTACCTTGATTTCTGAAGGATATAAAGGTAATTCTTAGTGAAAGGAAATGAAGAGAATTCAGAGTCAGCAAATCTATCCATGGTAAGGCTAGGACAATGACATCAAAATACAGTGGGAATGCCAACTAATGCAGTGGTTTAGGAGGTGCTAAAGGAAGTTCTTCAGACAGAAGGGAAATGATACAAGATGGAAACTTGGAACATCAGGAATAAGGAAGAGCAATAGAAATGGTAAATGTGTGGGTAAATAGCTGTACACTTGAATTCTCTAAAATGTTTTACAGTTGAAAACAAAATCATAACATTTCTGTTATATCTCAACTTAAACATAAGAGGAGGAGATTAAAGGGACCTATGTATGCTGATAAGGTTTCTACCCTCCACTTGAAGTTGGTAAAATTCTCACTTTAAGTAGACGGAAAAGCTAAGTAAATATATTGTAATCCCTTAGGCAACTACTGAAGAAATCTATACAAAGAGATATAGTCAAACACTAATTAAAATTGAATAAAAAGAAAGGAAACAGAAATGAAAAACAGAGGAAACAATTAGAAAACCAATAATAAAATGGTACATCTAAGTCTGAACATTCTACAATAAATCACATTAATGTAAATCACATTACATGTAAGTGGTCTCAACACACCAATTAAAAGAACATAGGTTTTGGAGCTGGGCAGACCTGGTATCAATATCGTATTGGCCATCTATCTGTGTGGTCTTGTGCAAGAAACCTTACTTTTCTGAGCCTGTTTCCTCAGCTATAAGATGGAAATAAAAATTATGAGTACTCAGAGGGCTGCTGCAAAGATGAAATAAGATAAATGTGTACAAGTCGTTCAACACTATGTTAAAAAGGTAGTGTAGATATATGTTTGCTCATATAAGCAGAGTATTTTGGGAAGGACATATAAGAAAGTGATGTCATTAGTTTCTGTAAAGAACTGGTAGGCTGAGAAATGGATGAGAGAGATTTTTTACTTCCTTGGGTCCAAAATCTCTCATCTACAATTCTGAAGTAAAGAGAGCTCTGAAAGACAAGTTTTTCCCCATAGATTGGTGCTAAACCTTGTTTGGAGCAAAACCTGACCGAAGTGGCATATGAAGCTCCTTATGTATTCATTTATCCATTTATATGTTGAATACTCGTTATTTTGCAGAAATACGATATTGGTTACAGATGATGCCTGGGAGTGTTACATATAATATGTTAGGTATTCCCATCTGACATTGCTAAAGTATGACAAATTCTGAATTCCAAAACTCATCTAGCCTAAGATTATGGACCTCTATATCCTTTTTTTTTCACTCTTCTTGAATTTTAAAACTGTTAAATTCAAAGATTATGGACCTCTATATCCTTTTTTTTTCACTCTTCTTGAATTTTAAAACTGTTAAATTCATTACCTATTCAGAAAATTACATTTAAAAAATTCATCTTTTTAAAATTAAATTTAGCACAGTGCCTCACACAAAGCAGGCTCCCAGTAAATAATGGCAGCTGCTATCACTCCATTCTTCCAAACCTTCCCTTTCAACAAATCTGTTCCTGTCCAATAAATATTACATTTCACCATCACAGTAGATCCTGTGAGTGTTACTACTAAGATTTTACATCTTAAAAGCTGGGGTGCAGAGGTTTGTGACAGTCCTCTGCCAACCAACTAGATGATCCCCCACCCAGAGTCCAGAGCCCATCTTCTGATTCCCAGTCCTGAGGCCTTAACAGTTCACCAGTCCACCTCAGCCATTAGAATGTCAGCTGTATTTGTATGCCCAAGAGAGGCATGTTTTTATCTAAGAGGAGAGGGAACACATAAAGAGGAAGGTGTGTGGTCAGGATCCCTTCAGATCCCTTACAGGGTCCCCTGTTGGGGCTGGGACATAGGGTTCAGTGGGCCCAGCCAGGCAATTTGCCTACAGGGTTAATGTACGAAACACTTTCCTTCAATTGATGACTAGATGAAGCAGTAGGGGCTTGATTTCAGATACCATGTACGAAATTACCTTTCTTTGAATCTCTAAATCCTCACTCAGCACATGCAGGACTGAGACTGTTTTAAAGTGAGTTCTGAGCACATAACGAGGTCATAGAAGTGTGCATGTGTTACAATGAGACTGTTTAGTGTGAGCCTAAAGGATGTGCTGTGACGGTTTCAAGTACACAGATTTTTGGGGTGGGTCTTGAGGCTGCCTTTCTAATCTCCGTTGTTCTGCATTTCTTCTCCCTGCCCCACACTCTGTGGTCCAGGAGAGAAAAACAGAGCGGACTGCATGTATCAGGAGCCGTCAAGTCTCTGTTCTCCCAAGCATTTTTATAGCCACCAGAAGCCCCTCTGTTTGCTGCTCTGTAGGGGGCAATTCATGGAGATAGGGAATATGCTCCTTGCCCTTTGGCACCACCTGGTCTGTCCAGTGAGGCAGGATATTAGAGGCCACCAGAAACTTGACTGTTAGCTCCATGAACAATGGCGTGGGAACAGCAGCCTAGGTCAGGAAAAATTCCTTCCCTTTGAAGCCTAGCCACATCCACCTAAATTACCATATCCTTTCTAGCCCATTAGGTAGAACTGACTGTAGAAACACGTGCTTATTGTTTTTTTCCCCAGTTCTTTAATTAAAGGCTTTTTGCCAGTAAGCTTAAATTAACTACTGATTACAAGGCTTCCTAAGATCTGGCAGCAACCCTCCTTGCCCAAGAACTGTCAGGTTTGTATTGCTTGCAAGGGCTCCAAGCGGATTCCAAAGCACATTTTTTCAAACATTACATCTCTTTTGTTTTATTTTATCCATATCTATATCCTTTATAGTAAAAAAGAGAAAAGTATAAAGAAGAAAATCACCACCCAGGAGTAACTATCACTGTTTATATTTTCAGTATGCTTCTTTCTAATTTTATTTACTCCTACATGCCCACGCCATGCACACATTTTTCACAGTTGATTTCCTAGGCTACTGATAACCCCTTTTCCCCCCAATTAATGCTAGACCATAAGCAATTTGCCGCATTATTTTAAAACTGACTTCAAATTCTAAGAACATTGTTTCCGTAACTGTGTTTAGGGATATTATGTAATGTACCCAACTCATCCCCATCTCACCAATTCCAATTCCCTTGATTAAAGCCTTTATGGTAATATTTTTAATTTGAATGATGTGTTCTTTCTTTAAGATGGATACCTAGACATAAAATTATCAGATCAAAAAATATAAAGATAAGTAAGACTTTAAAAGATATACTTTGTGTGTATACATATTAGATAATACAGAATTGCTCTCCAGAAATCATGTACTCCTGTATGCTTCTAGTTCATACATTTTCAGTGAGAGCAAAACTGTTTCCTGGGGTTGGGGTTGGGGGTGTAGAAAAATCTTAGCAATTATAATAGTTTGTGGCCCTTCAGTGGGCTATACTGCATAAGCAGGTATATAGTATCTGTGGTATTAAATTTTATGCAGGGTCCGCAATGAGAAAAGGTTGAAAAGCACTGTAGCCATGTTTACTGCACCCATCTCACTCAATCCTTGGAAGCTTTTAACTCAGCCTTGGGGTTTTGGTTTTGGTTTTAGAATGGTATTTTTCTGATATCAAAGTTCTCGGTTCTTTATACAAAGTTTAAATTTATATGTAGATTATAGCTGTTAATATTTTAATTTTTCTATAGAATTGGGATCCCCATGTTTGCATTCAGCTCTTTTCAATATTGCCATTGTAATAGTATCAGTGTTAGTATGTGCCAAGGCCACTGTGAAATATCCCTTGTGTCAGGGTCTCACGCAGGGGCTTCCCTGTCCCCCGTGCCTGGGATTGCATGTTGTCAGGTCTGGCCTCTGGGAGCCCAGGCACCCGGCTGCTCTGGGACTTGTGGTAATTGCCCTTGTTTGTTTCAGGTGCGATCCCCTGGGCCCATTTGCAGCCGGAGGAGAGGACCTAGACCCCTTTGGGTGAGTACTGTGGGGAGGAGGCAGCAACGTAACTTACTCTCGTGGCTTTTTGGCTCCAGCTCATCTTCTAATTTTAGAGCTTTTCGTCAGGCTTCCTTTGAGGTGAAGGAGGCAGTTGTTGCTGAGTGGCTGAGAAATCACTACCACTTGTCCTGCTCTGCCATGCCCAGAGACAGGAGAGCTCTGAGTGTTGGGGAGGGGCCGAGCAAGCCCACTGGTGGCCCCGTTTGCCCTGGCGGAGGACAGCAGCCCTTCTTGGGTGGAAGGATGCTAGGGTTTTTCAGGTGCAGACTGAAGAGCGCACCATGGACTACAGACCTGAGGGCAGTCAGGGGCTGTTCACAGGTCACCTCACTTGATAAGGGCATCTCTGATCCCCACTGGACTCTGTGTGGTTCTTGTCATGCATCCAGCAAAGTCATCATAGCCTCAGCCATACACGGTCTTTGAATGATTCTGACTAGATTTTAACCTCTGCCACAAAGTGACCCCAACTTGGGCATCTCACTTTTAAACAGTAAGGAAATCACATAATTCCACAGTTAAGCTTGAACAGTGACCTCAAAGTTTGGGGAATACCAGCTCACACATCGTAGTTTGAGCACATGAGGTCAGGTTCATGGAACTCCGTGAGGGACAAGTTCTGTCAGGAGCCAGACATGAGCAGCCCATGGGCAGTTATAGATTGCCCTGAGTCCCTTTAAGGGTACAGAGTGAAACTAGTAACATGAATTGTCTCAATGCCATTATTAGTCCTTCGTCCTAAAGAGGTGCCCTGAACAGCTTTGTAATGGTTTTGCATTGACCTTGGCAAGTTCTGGCACCTGTTCTTGATCAGTTGTCCCCTTTAGGTGTAGAACACAGTTTTGCAGGCCCAGGTAGGCTGTAGAGCAGAAAATATACAGGCCAGTTGTGCCAGGAAAGGCGTGTTCTTAATGTTTTGCTCTTGCTCACTTCCTGCTGGTATGCAGGCAGCCATCCACATGGGTCTGCTTAAGTCATCCAGGTAGACATCCCAGGCATTCATAGTCCATTCTTGCCCCCTTCACCTTTCCTCCAACAGCTCCTTGCCACACCTACTTCCCCATCTTTCTTCTTGCTTCAGGTATCGGAGAGGTGGCATGATTGTGGATCCCTTGAGATCTGGCTTCCCAAGAGCACATATTGACCCATCCTCGGGCCTCCCAAACCGGCTTCCCCCAGGTGCTGTGCCCCCAGGAGCGCGCTTTGACCCCTTTGGACCCACTGGGACCAGCCCGCCCGGGTAGGTATTCACTCAGGTATGCTGAGGAGTAGAACCTGATGGCAGCTCAGCTTGGCATTGCAGGAAGGAAGGCATCTGACAGCAGGCGCAGTCTCCACAAGCTCCATTCCCCTGTCACCAAAAGAGTGGAACCTCCTCCAGGCCTCTGCCTGCTGCCTCTTGGGAGCCTTCCAGGGGCTCCTTATCCCTCAGTGCCTCCCTTCCCCCAGCTCTCCTCAGGGAGGACTCAGAGGAGGAGAAAGTTACAGGAAGTTAGTATGTGTCAGGACCTCACTGGATCCTTTATCAGCACTTCTGGGTAGACAGTACTACCCACATTTCACAGATGCAGAAATTGAGGCCTGAAAGATGAAGTGACTTACCCCAAGTGGGAGAATCAGGATTCAAAGGCAGGCTGCAGAGCACATGCTGTGAAATACCGTGAACCACTGTGTCATTCTGAAGGGCAGGCCCCCTTGGCTCAGGGCCCTGTCTGCATGTGCTCTTAGCCCCTCCATCATTCCAACTCACCAGCCCCTCTTTCCATTCCAGACCTAACCCAGACCATCTCCCCCCGCCGGGCTACGATGACATGTACCTGTGAAGGCCTCAAGAATGTAGCTTCCCAGCCTTCCCTCCACTCTCCTGGAGTTGCCGCCGCTGGCCCCGTCAGCAACCGTGTTCTTGCAGGCTGGGGCGATGGACTCTGCCCTGTGTTTGCAGGCCGGCTGGGATTGCCTCCCCATCCCCTGTCAGAGCCAAGGCACCTGCTGCAGACCTCCACTTGGCTGCATATAGGTGTCAAAGAGAAATCAGTGTGTCCTCCCCACCAGCTGATTCCACTTTTCAAGGGAGACTCCGGCAGCATATTATCTTTGACCAGTGCAGTCCCAGTTGCAGCGCTATAAGAACAGAACACATTTTGGATGTAAGAACCAAATGTCAATACAAAAGTCATGTTGCCAGTCTCCCACTTTTCTTTATTGCACAGCTCCTTCCAGCTGTGAGACTTCAGAGTTTGAATCTTTGTGGGGCTAAATGACTCTTTTCCTTCCCAGAGCCCATTCTTGCTCCTCAGGCACCTTCCCTTCATAAATTGCTGTTGCTCCCAACATAATGGGTTCCAGTTTGGCTACAAGGTTGAAAATGAGGGTCTGGAAACCCTTTAGGCCATGAAAATGACTTCCACAAAGGCAGGCATGTTGCAGAAAGACTGTGTTATTTTGAAAATGGTAGAATCCTCCAGTTCTTCCTGTCTGAGCCAGTCCTCTGGGTCCGTCTGTGCCAGGGCAACGGTAGTCTATAAACAGAGGAATAAACAGAATAGATCTGAAGGCTAATCTCATTTTTGCCCCTAACTTATGGAGTGGCCCTAAATAAGTCCTTTCCTCTTCCTTTTTGGGCTTTTGTGCCCCCCTATGTAATATGAGGTGTCCTTCCTGCTCTGAAGCATTCTGATGTCTGCTGCCATGGACGGTGACCCCTAGGAACTGGGGCAAAAGGAAAAGAATGAAGGTTCAAGGCTGTGTGTGATATTTACCTATGGCAGAGTCTATAACTCTGCCTCTCCCCTCGGCCCCCTTGGGACCCAGGCAAGAGCACAGGAGCATGGGCCCCATCTATAGTACTGAACTTGGGGAGGAGCAGAGAGCTCAGCCTCTGGAAGCCTGTGGCCTCTGGCCAGACCCACCTGACCTTTAGTGGTCTCCAGAGCCTTCTCAGCCCAAGACCTGACAGACACGGTCAGAGATGAACCCCTGTGCTGGAGTAGAAAGAGCACCTTAGAGCACCATGCTCAGAGGCAAGAGATCAAGGCAGTAGTCACTTCCACTCCACAACTGGCATTTTAACCATGGCTGGGTCCTTTCACTTCTCAGCTCAGTGGGTTCCTCCCCCTAAATTAGGTCGTATTATTTATCTGTGGGCAGCACACTACCACCCAGAGCCTTCCCAAGGTGTCTGACATGCTATAGCCTGGGATTGCCTGTCTGCCCTGCCTGAGAGTGAATGAAACTGGCACATGGGCCCAGGGTCAATTTGAGATGGAGCTGGGCCTGGGTAGGGAGGTGAGCATGAGCAGGCTCCCTGGCACTTCTGGCAGACCCCATCTCCAGCACTGACTGAGTGAAAGACTACCTTGAAGCCTTTAGAACATCTCTCTTCTGGAGAAAGACCCAGAGATCAGGCAGAGCCATCATCAATCATAGTCCTCCTGAAGGGCTGGCAAATGTGTGGAATATTTTTGTTTTGAAATTGGATCATACCTGCTACCAAAAGACCTGGGGCAATTTGCTCATAAAAGCATCCTTTATTATTAAAGGAACCTAAGACCAGAGACCATCAAACAAGCAGGGAAAGTACATCACTTTTTGGACCCTGACTCAAAGAAAAGACAAGATTGAGACAATAAATTTGCCACTGAGATTTTCTAGTAGCAAAGGTCAAAAGGATAGTCATATACATAATTCTGTTTTCTAAAAACAAAAACTTTAGTGATTAATCTGCAGAATCAGCCATTTTTTGTGTGTGAGTCTTACTTGCATCAAGGACACTGAAGAACATAGGCAATGTCTTGGTTATGTTGGGGGAAGTGAGTGGAGCCTTCAGGAACTTCCAGGACAAGTTATTCATGCTTGTAGTCTGGGCCACTTACCTCTTTCCAGCCATGAATAATCACCAAGCAGCAAATGAGAATGGTTTGGGTATATGTTTTCTGGAACCCAAAATTTGGCTGGAGCCTTAATAATAAAGACCAACACTTAATAACCTGTTCCTTTTTTTTTTAAATAACAACCTTTATTGAGATATAAATCATATACCCATAAAGTTGACTCTTTTAAAAGTGTGCAGTGAAGTGGATTTTTAGTGTAATCAGTGTTGTACATCTGTCATCATATCTAATTCCTGAACCTTTTTACAACCACAAAAAGATATCCCATACCCACCTTCCCATCTCAAGGCAACCAGTCTATTTTCTGTCTCTAAAGATTAACTATTGTGGACAGTTCTCATAAACAGAATCACACAATATGTGCCTTTTGTGCCTGCCTTCTTTGAGTTAATGTTTTCAAGGTACATTCATGCTGTAGCATGTATCAGTACCTCATTGTCATGGCTGAATAATATTCCATCATATGTATATATACCATATTTTCTTTATACATTTATCAGTTAATGGACAGTTGGGTTTTTTTTCACTTTCAGCTATATGACTAATGCTTGTGAACATCTGTGTACAAGTTTCTGTGTAGACATACATTTTCAGTTCTCTTGGGTATATATATATCTAAGAGTGGAATCGCTGGATCACATGGTAACTCTCTTCAACTTTTTGCAGAACTACCAGACTGTTTTCCAAAGCAAATGTACCATTCTACATTCCCACCAGTAGGGTGTGAGGGTTCCAGTTTCTCCACATCCTCACCGAGACTTGTTAGTCTTCTTCCATATAGCCAACCTTATTCTAGTGAGGGTGAAGTGGTATGTCATTGTGGTTTTGACCTCTAATTTTTTTTTTTTTTAAAGAACTTTGATATGGCCCAAGCAAGGCAGAGAACACAGCCAGTCATCCCTGAGAAGCAGCCCATGGGTTTGATAGTAGCCATCTTGGGATGACCTTGGCTAATGAGCCAGAGAGAAGTTGGGTTTGACTTGGGAAAGTTCTGGTCTGGATGTGATACAGGATAGGTGCTCTGTAGGGAAGTTCACGTGACCTTTACAAGTTTAGTGAGGTTCATGACATCACTTTTTCTTAGTTTGAAATTGCTTTGTTCATCCAGTGGTTTACAAGTAAAGGTCTGGTTCCAAATCCTTGTCTTTTGATGAAGTGCCATAGACCACTTGGATCATCTCTGGCAGCCCCCACATTCCCATGTCCTCTTCCTTGCCTGTCTCCTCCCCAGTTCTTAGAGCTGGCTGTGTTTCTTACTGCATCTGTCTACTCAGTCTCAAACTTCTGTCAAACTCCATGGTGCAGTCATGAGTCCCTTGAGAGACCTGCAGTCCAAGAATATAGTATCCTCAAAATGGAGACTATATTCCTGGCTAGATGGTTGGTACCTGTTGACAAGTGTTAGAAAGTGGGTAGCAAGCGCCAATGGGAAGCAAATCTCATTGTAACCCAGCTTCCCTCACGGCCTCCCTTTCTACTGTCATTAATGACATTCTATTACTGTTCAATGCCTCTCTTCACAAAAGGAAAATCAGAAGCTGTGGAGCAATGTCCTCTGTCACCTAATTTTGTCTACTTTGGTACAGTTCCAATAAAACCCACCACCGAGAGGAAAGGTCTCCCACATGCATGTGCTCAGCTTCCTTGCAGGCCTGTATCGACCTTTTGCAGTAAAGGAGGGATTCAAAAGCAGGCATCCAAGTCTTCAGCCCTTCTTGGTCCTTTGGGTACCACAAGGCAGACCCCCAGTCACTTCAGCTACGCTTGCCCTGAATCTGACCTGGAGGGTGAGTAAAACGCAGGAGTGGCAGGAAGTGAGGATGGTGGGCAGTGAGAGAGAGGTGACTGAGGACAGTCCCCAGAATGCAAAGGGCAGCAAAGGCATGAGGTTTGAACACCCACCAGGGCAGGGGCACCCGTCCTAGGCTGACGGTGCAGTCTGACGGAGACTGAATGCCAATGTGAAAGGCCATGTTCCAGAGCAGCCGCAGAGGGGAGTGCTGGGAGAGGGACAGCGTGAGAGGGTTCACAAGGGGGAGAGAGTGGAGAGGTGTTAGTCCTAGGGTTCAGCTGCAGTAAAAAGAAACTACTTCAGCTTTTTTAAACAAAAAAGGTTTGGGTACAGAGATTAGCAAGATCACATCATCATTGTCCCTATCCAGGGATCAGGAAACTCCAGAGCTAAACCACAGCTGCCTGGATCTGCACCAGAAAATGAACGCCCTTCATTCTACCACATGACCCCCTCTCGGCTCAGTTCTAAGTTCTAGGCTTAACTGAGTGCATCTGATAGTTGGAAAGTTGGAACCTTTCTCACATCCCAAACCAAAGCTGCAAGGGAAATGTCCTTGGGAAAATGTCCTTGTTCCTTTTTCCTGCCTCTTCATTCAGGAAGGCACGTTGGAACAGAGGTCAGGTGAGCCAGTCTCCTGTGTCTGCATGATGGGTGCAGGTGAGTACCACAGCCATGCTTCCCCAGCAGACCTGAGTCTACTTGTCTCCTGAGATGCTTTTTCCAAGTGCACAGTATGTCCTAGGCCCCAACACACACCTGGATCCAGATCTCTATGGCAGAACCTTTGTATCATTTTTGCTAAGTTTCTTAGGTGGTTCATCTGCTGAGTTTGAGAACTGAGAAGGGAAGGGAAGACTCTCCCTGCTGCTCAAACCAGCGGCAACTGCAACACCCAGGAGCTTATCAGAAATGTACAATCATGGGCCCAACCCCAACTTAATAGATAATCTGCATTTTAATCGGTTCCTCAGGTGATTCATGTGTACATTAAAGTTCAAGATGCTCCAGTGTACAAACTATATCTTTTTCTTTCACCTGGCTGTCAGGTGCAAAGGACTGCCACTTTTCTTGGTTCATGGCACATTGTAATTAATATAGGCAAGAACCCCCTCATTTTAATTTTTTCAGTTTTACTCCCTTATCCACTCTATTCCCAGTCATCCATGGGCCATCGAAATGTGTTTCATATAGGTTTTTAAATGTGCATGTGCCCTGGTAAACAGCATACATTCTATCTTCAAATCATAACAACTATAATGAGACACTACCCTCATTTTCTAGACCAGAAAAAGAGGGCTTGGAAAGGTCCAGTAATTTGCTCAAAGCCAAGCATGAGTCTCAGAATGGGGCAGATACAGATGTGACTCCTATCTCCTTGCTGGTGTGTGGCCTTACCTGCAAAATGAGCATCACCTGTACCTTCAGGATTATTGCAGGTCCAGCCAAATAATGTTTTATAGCCAGAGAGTTGGAGCTTGGCAGGTGCCAGTGGGGCCTCAAGGTCAAGAGGAAGGGAACCTTAAGTGGCCCTCCAGTACAGGAGGAGGGCATTCATCTGGTGCCCACAGTGTGCTAGGCTTTTCCTAGTCTCACATAGTACTCTAGCCAACCCCATGGTAAACACTGTTAGCAGCACTGGTTGAGCTGGGCTTGCCCTTTTAGGGGTGGCAGAACCATGATGGGAACCTGGGTCAGCCTGGTTGTAAAGCCCGTACTCCTTCGTAGAACTGCTGTACCCAGACCCCAGACCCTCTGCACCTGAGAAGCATGGATCCCTGTGCAAAACCAATTCCTGAAGCTGGAAAACCAAATGAGGACTAGTGTGAGAAAGGAATAATGCTGCAAAAATCCCCGGGATAGTCTTAAGACTCCTAAATCATCCTGTTCGTGAAACGTGTATCATGTTTCTGAGCACTTCATCTACAGCCAAAGCACCCAGAACATCTGAAACCACGTAGCACAACACCTATTCCACAAAGGAAGAAGCAGGCCCGTGAAGCCCCTCTGTACGGTGAACTCCTGCAAGGCTTTACTGGGTCCCAGAGCTGGGCTTGGCTGCACAGAACTGTCACCCAGCCCCGAGTGATGCTTGCCTCTGCCTGCTGAGTTTAGCAGGATGGGAGCTACTCTTCCCACTGAACAGATGAAAAAGCAGGTCCCAGGGAGTTGAGTGACCTTTCCAAGGCCACAGATGCCATAGAAATCCTAGCTCTGGGGTTTTCCCACTAAACACTGCCCAAAATAGTTGTGTTGGTCCCTAAAGGACAAAAATAATAGTCTCCTTCCTTCTCCCGTCCCTTCACAGCTAGACTGAGCATTAACAGGAAGGCTCCATACAGATTCAGCACCCTGGTCAGCACCCACCCTTCATGCACTGATAGGCAGCCGTTAGGCCAAGGTAAGTCAGTGTCTGCTGCTCCCCAATTCAAGATGGCCCAATCCTGGGGACAGAAAGACATCCCTAAGAGAAGGGGACCTGGACCTAGGTATCCCACCTCGAAGACAGAGCCCTGCCTTCCCCCTCTTCTTCAGATTAGAATGACAGAAGCACAGCTTCATGCTATAGGCTTCTTGGTTCCCAGGGCATAAATTCAAGAAAGAAGCCTGTGATGAAGAAAGGAACGGGCAGGGGACCTAAAACATGTTGACCCTGAGCAAGTCTTGCCCCTCTGTAAAATGGGAATAAAGGTGGACTCGACTATATCCAAGGTTCTGCCCTTCTGTGAGATCCATGGGCCTGACCAAGTCCAGTACATCCTTTCACAGAGCTTCCCAACCAACTCACATTTAAACTACAAGCCTTAAAGTGGCAGCCCACAGCCCAGATCTATCCACAAACATGTTCTGACTGGCTTGTGTGTTATTAAATTTGATAAGATGCATGATGGCATGTTATTAAATTTGAGTCTTGACTGCTATTTACCAGCTGTGTGACCTTGGGCAAGTTATTTAGTCTACCTGTGCCTCAGCTTCCCCATCTGTAAAATGGAAGTAAGGATAGCACACATCACTCCAAGATGGTGGTGAGGTTTAAATGAGCTAGTAGATGTCAATATCCAGAAGGGTGCCTGGCACAAGAAGAACACTATTTCATTTAAAACTTGGATAATCTAATGTGTATAATGGATAACTGGTTCATTGAAATGTACAACAAGAAGTGTTTTTTGCTTTTTATCAAACTGCCCTTTGTCAAATCCCCCTTTTTCATCTTAGCATCTAAGGGCCAACCAACAACTAACTGGCCACTCTGATTTTCTAACTTAGTCCAGTCTAGAACTTTCCAACTCACATCCAGTT